CTTAGCCTGTAAGTCATTCCAGTGAATCCCCTTTCTGTTGATATCAAGAGCCCATTCTATACACTCTGTTCCTCTAGAGAACTCTAATATATCATGACAGAATGTACAGTAAAGGAAGAAGGGGTCCCATTGTCCCCTTCAAGGCCATACCTCAACGACCCACTTTTCGTCTGCTCCTCATTTCCCGAGGACTAGAAGCCTTTGGTGGCCAAGCCTTTAAAGCTATGACCTTTGGGCACATTCACATTTTGTTCTAAATTGACCTCAGTTGTTGTGATAAAAAATACTCTAAAACGGTGGGCAGAAAGGAATTACTTGGTTTATACTTCCAGATCACAATGTATCCCAGGAAAGTCAGGGCAGGCGCTATAGCCCGGAACCTGGAGCAGGACCCAAGGAGAGAGTCCAATTGCGGGCTTGCTCTCTGGCTCATGCTCAGTTTGCTTTCTTACACAGCCCAGGCCCACCTGCCCAGGGGTCACTTCTGCCCACAGTGGGCTGGGTCCTCCTGTATGAATTAAGAATCAAGATAGTGTCAGACATGTCAATATGAGGTAGACGATTCCTCAGCTGAGACTTTCTCTCAGAGGACTCCAGGCTGCTCAAGGCCAGCCTGCCCTATAGAGCCAGTTTTACAAGAGCCAGGACTACACAGAGAAACCGTGTCTCAAAGTACAAAAAACAAACAAACAAAAAACGCCCAAACAATCAAAAACCCCCAAACAAAAAAATTCACAAGTTTGAGGGGATTCCAATTTAGTATCACTACATTGTATACAATTTAGTATACAACTACATACGTATAAATGCGCGCATATGTTTAGAGATTAGATCACAGAGCATAGGCTTTCAGACTGCTTTTCTTTTTTTAAAAAACAAGATAATCTTTATTCTTATTTTAGTCATTATTTATTTTTAATTTATGAGCATGAGTGTTTTGCCTGCATGTAATTTTGTGCACTGCATGGGTGCCTGGTGCCCACGGAGACCAGAAGAGGCATCAGAGCCGCTAGGACTGGAGCCACAGATGGTTGTGAGCCACCATGTGGGTGCTGGGAATCCCACAGTGTCCTCTGGAAGAGTATCCAGTGCATATAGCCGCTGGGCCATCTCTCCAGCCCCAGCCTGTCTTTGACTTAGCAATGGCTTACATTTCACTATGACTAAAATGTTTTGTGTTGCCTCAAACAGTCACATTTGGCTGTTTTAAGACTTGAAATGTGAGTGGTGCCTTTAATCCCAGTACTCAGGAGGCAGAGGTAGGTGGATCTCTGTGAGTGGGAGCCCAGCCCGATCTACAGAGCAAATTGCAAGATAGTCAGAACTATGCAGAGAAACCCTGCCTCAAACACGCAAACAAGAGGTATTTTACTATTTTTAATTATGTGTGTATGTGTGGGTCTGTGTATGTGAGTGCAGGTGCTGTGGGGCCAGAGGCATCAGTTCCCTTGTGAGTGACAGGTGGTTGTGAGCCCCCTGATGTGGGTGTTGGGAACTAGATTCAAGTCCTCTAGAAGATCAGCGCGTGTTCTTAACTGCAGAGCTATCTCTTGAGTGTCCCCAGTGTTGTAATTTAAAAATAGGTGCTCAAGAGAAAGATGCCATGAGACAGAGCTTGGGTGGAGGGTTTTTTTCTTAATTGGGGGAAAGTGACTTAATTGGGGAAAAGGGGAGAGGGGAGATGGGAATCCGGCCTCTGGGGACAGGAGTGGGAGAAAAGCAAGGGAGGGGAGAAGGGGGAGAGAGGATGGGGAAGGGGGGGGAGAAGGGAGGGAGAAGAGAGGGAGAAGAGAGGGAGAGGAGAAGAGGGGGAGAAGGGGAGAAGGGGAGAAGGGGAGAGGGGGAGAGGGGGAGAGAGGGAGGGGAAGAGAGGGAGAGAGGTGAGGGTGGAGGTGGGCAGAGCCTTTTTCAAAGGGAACATAGTGAATGTGCACAGGTGGTACTCTTAGTGGCTGCAGCTGAGGATGTATCCCGTCAGAACCCCAAGAACAGACCAGATGACTGAATACTAGTACTTACCAAATATAAATGAGTCAAAATGTTTTTTTGTAATTTGTCAGTTTGTAGAGAAGCTGAACATCAATAGCCAGAAAAAACTATAGAAATGACATAATACATGGAGACCAAACAATATATTTTGAGTGAACACTGGGTCATTTAAATCAGGGAGGTCATTTAAAAAAAAAAAAAAAGAATCCTCAAATTATGAGGATACAAGTTACAAGAGCCTTTGGAAACAGCCAAAAGCAATTAATTCTAAGAAGAAAGTCTATCGCTATGAGTGCTTACATTAAAAATAGAGAAAGGCTGGGCAAAGTAGCAAATGCCTTTTAACTCTAGCATCTGGGAGGCAGAGCCATGCACATCTCCAGGAGTTCAAGACCAGCCTAGTTTACATAGCAAATGCCAGGGCTGCAGAGAGCCCCAATCTAAAAAACAAAAAAACTACAGAAAGATCTCACACAACCCAATGATACATTTTAGGGCTCTGTTTGTCTTGGGGTCTGGGGAAGGGCAGAAATTAGTAAAATAGAGCCTGAAAGAACAGTAGAATCTGTGAAAATAAACAAGATTGGCAAAACCTGTAAAGGCTAAAGGTTCAGCTCTCAGCCCCTACCCAGGGTTCCTCAGAGAAATGCTTCCCAGGATGGGGGTGGGGTGGGGGAGTAATTGCATCATGGCTCACAAAAGCTCATGTTAAACACTCCTGACCAAAACCAAACCAAACCAAACACTCAACAAAACAAAACAACAACAACAAAACTCCAACCAAACTTACTGTAAAGAAAAAGAGAAGACCCAAATTAATAAAATTAAAGATGAAAAGGGGGTTACTACAGATTGCAATGAAGTTCAGAGTTCACAAGGGGATATTTTGAAAACATTCTAAAAACCTGAAAAAAAAAATTAGGAGAAATAGAGCTCTCCAACTAAATGAGCAATCAAATTTAAATCTGGAGCATATGATCAGTTTAAACAGAGCCACACAACTGAGGTGAAAGCAATAGTAACACTCTGCAGACAAGTCCCAGGCTAGGCAGTTTGTACTTGTTAAAGGGAATCATTCCCCTACTCTCTGTGAAAAGGGACTTGTAGCTCTGCTATTGACATATGACTCTGGTGCCTGTTCGAATGTGAAGGTCCTTGCTGGTTTGTGGGCTCCCCAATCCTGGCTCATAGGCTGCCTTCCTCTCAAATATCCAGGAGAACCCCACCACCCCACCACCCCATGTGGCTTCTCTCTGCTTTCCGGGAAACAGCCTTTTAGTTAGTTTTAAACTTTTCGCTTTTTACCCACGGGGAGGCTATTTTTTATTCAACAAGATGACGTTGTAGTGCATTTGTATAGCACATTAATCCCCCACCCCCAACACACATTTGAAATATCTAGAGATTTCTTAATAAATTCACAACATGGGGCAAGAGTGATTTCATATATATATTTGTATGTCCTTATTTCCATGTTTCCCAAATGTATCCATTCCCTTTTTGTGACTACCACGATGCCACATTTTTCAGAAGTTTGGTAGCTGCTTTGTAGGCGCCTTCTCAATCCATCCCCTTGGTTTGTTCCTGTGTTCATTGGCTTTCATCACTTACAGGTGTGAGAGTCTCAATTCAATCTCCAGGATAAGGAAAAAGAATAGTTACTGTTTTCATCTCAAGGTTCATAAACAGCCAGGTGTGGTAGCATATGTCATTAATCAAACCACTTAAAAAGGCAGAGGCAAGCGGATCCGGGTAAGGTTGAGGACAGTCAGAACTTCATGGTCTCTACTTCAGCCCAAAGGGGGCGATCCTCAAACTGCTCCGACTTCACTGCTCCTCAGATTCACTCAGACTGCTATGGTCTCCTCAATGTGGCTAGATAATCCTGACACTGACTGCCTTCCAATCTTAAGTGTGGCTGGAGAATGAGTGCCAGCTCCAAGAGTAGTATTTTTTATTTACTGAAGAAACCTCCCTAGGTAGTAAAGACTCGTTTTCCAGGTCTCACCTGGGGGTGGGGTGGGGTGGTGTAAGGTAACTACAATATTGCTTCACGCCCCACCAAAGCCCTGTAGGATACGCGTTTGTACACTTCTGATCTGCCCGGGCTACCGTAGTCGGCTCCTCTGTGCACTCGTGCGCCTGCGCGCTGCCGGCCGGCTCTCCATTTCTGCGGGAACCGGGAAGGACGTTGGTGTGGAGGTGAGGCGGGCGGGCGGCGTCGGCGGCGACCCCGGGGTGTGACAGCCGCGGTGTCGGGCCTCTCGTGGGGACCGGGTGTGCCCCGAGTCCCGGCCTAGTGGGGCCTCCGTTCCCTGCCCCGTCCCGCCGCGCCCTCCGGAGGCCGCGGGCCTGGCGGGACCCCAGGGCCCCAGCGACGCCGCCGCCAGCCTCCCCGTTCGTGCGCGGCGGGGCCTCGGAGGGGCGCGGCGGGGCCTCGGGGCTCGCTTGGTGGCCGGGCGGGGGGCGGCCTGCCGGGCCCGTTCCCCGGGGTGACCGGCGTGACCTTGACTGGGTCGCCTGCCCCGTGGGGCCTGGTGCGGCACCCGGATAGGGCTGCGACGTCGGAGGGGCCCGGCGTGAGGCTGGGGCCGGGAGTGGAGGGCCCTGGCGGGGGCGCCGAGCTGGCGACCCTCTGCCACCTCCGGTGTCACCGTCTCAGTGACCCGAGTCGTCGCCGAGGACGCTGAAAAGCGACAGCGAGGTGGGACTGGTCTTTCCGCGGCTGGGGACGGACACCTGTGCTCGCAGTTTGTGCTCCTGGGCTCCGGTCGTGGCAGTTAGCGCTGCGCGTAGCGGAGCCGCCTAGCAGGGGACCGGGGAGGGGAGGGTGGAAGAAGCAGCCGCCGGGGTCACAGAAACCTTGCAGGAGGAGGCAGGCAGCCCGCGGGTGTAGGCACAAAAGAAAAAAGAAAAACAAAACAAAAACAAAAAACCCAAAACAACAACAACAAAAAAAAAACACGGCGTCGTGCATGAAGGGTTCACTCAGTCGCTTACCCTGCCGTTAAGGTTTTCTTTCTGTTGTTGTCTTACGTGTAAAGGACATTCGCTACCATGAGTTCCGGTGCGTTGCCAAAACCCCAGATGCGTGGTCTCCTGGCCAAGCGCCTGAGGGTTCACATTGTAGGAGCATTCATTATGGCCCTGGGAGTTGCTGCTGCCTATAAGGTATGTGTTTGCTGTTTGTGCATTTGGGTGACAAGCTGTGTATTGAAAACACTTTATTTTTATACCTATATTAAGAGCATTTTAAAAAAGAAACCCCCTCGTCAGTGTATTTCCTCCTACCTTCCTTGGGCTTCAGTGTTCTCAGGATCCACTCGGACAGCATGGAGTTTGCCCTCATCTTCAAGTGAACGCATGTTGGTTTGCTAGGGCTGCCACATCGAAGTGGCAGACTGAGTGGTTCAAATTCTGACATTTGTTTTCTCACATGTTTTTTTGTTTTGAGATAGGGTCTTACTAAATAACCATGGCTAGACCAGGCTGCCTCCAGCTTATATGATCTGCCTGTTTCTGTCTCAATGCTGGAATTAAAAAAGCTTGCTCTACCACACTCTCAGCTTTTATGAGCAGAGGTAATGACTTCTGGGTCTTTCTCTTTTGCTGTCTTCTCCACACAGTCTTTTGTAACTGATTGTATTTCCTCCTATAAAGAGACTAGGTTAGGACCCATGCCATTTTGAACATCTTTTAAGACCCGGTTTCCAAAGGTCTCGTAAGGTAGGATTTTATGTATTTGGGGAGAACAAACTCCTACCTTTAACAGAGGGTAGATCTACAGGGTATAGAGAGCAGTTTCTCACTTAGGCAGTTTTGAATAGTTGACAAGAGCAGCAGCATTTTAACGCTGTGTTTCTGTAGCTCTGAGAGGGAGTAAGGCTGGGTCTCACTATGTGGCCCGGGGTGGCCTAGAACTTGCTCTTCAGGGCACTCCTAGAAATCTGAGGGCTAAGGAGCATGTAAAGTGGATTCTTTGGGAATATTTGTCCCTTCCCTTCCCTTCCAAGTGCTGGGATTAGAGGTATATGCCACCAGGGCCTGGCCCTTCTATAAATTTTAATGCTTTTATCACATACCTTCCTCCTTTAAGTCATATTGTTATTTAAGATCCTCTCTTAAAATGTTATTATGCATGTTACCATGTTTTTATAATAAATCTATGAGAAAACTGGAGCCCCCCCTTTTTTTTTTCCTGAGACAGGATTTGTCTGAGTAGGCCTGGCTGTCCTCGAACTCGATTTGTAGGCCAGACTGGCCTTGAACTCCGATTTGCCTTTCTTTGTCTCCAGTGTGCCAGAATTAAAGGTGTGCACCACCACTGCCTGGTAAAAACCAGCAGTTTAGTAACTTGATAAATCTGTATTCTTTACCAGACTGAGCTTTTTAAGGAGGACTTGATTGTCAGGCGTGTGACACACAAGTGGGTGTTTAAAAATACATGTTAAATAAGAAGGGGTACTCTTTTAGCACAGTGTGTGATGTAGGTGGACTTGGAAGATACAGAGAATAGGGTGCAATCTCTATTAAGGGAAGTCACTGAAATGTAGAACACATGGGTTGGGGGGCAGGTGAGTAGAGAAAAGAGAACTAGAGAGGGGCACGTGAAAACACTTGTAGGAATTAAGTGTGCCCATGCTTTGCTACCATTTGAAAGAGAAGATACCTGAGTCCTTGCTTGGTATAGCAGATCCTTGCTGCCTCCTATGTATTGGGCATAAAGTTTGGAAGGTTAGATGGATGGATGACTGTATGTACTTACTACTTTAGATGAGGTTATAACATCATGCTGTTTTCTTGGGCTCACTAAACTTTTCTGGTTCTCAAGTTATGTAAATGAAAAATACTCTTTGTTCTAACAAATAACTCATGGTTGACTTGCCTCGTGTATTATGGTACTCTAGAGAAACAATCTGGCATGATCTATGTGTTTTGCATTTACACATTGACACATTTACACATACCCTTTGTGGATATTGAAAGACACCAAGATTTCTCGAATGACTTGGACTAAGTCCCACCGCATGCCATCTAAAATGTGTAGAATTGCTCCAGTTTATGTTCTGTTACTGTGATTGATAAACACCGTGATCAAAAGCAACTTGAGGAAGAATGGGTTTAGCTTACAGGTCCGTAGTGAAACCAAAGAGGAATGATGCTTACTGGCTGGCTGGCTTTTGACTTGCTCAGCTACCTTTATAACTCAAGACCACCCGTCCAAGGGATGTCACTGCCCATAGTGGACTGGGCCTTCCAATATCAACTAGCAATTAAATGCCCTATATACATGCCCACAGGTTCCCTCTTCCCAACTGTGTCACAGTAACTGAAGCTGGCAACCAAGAAATCTGGTATTAATAGTTTATTACAAATCTGGAGGTCTGAACCCCAAGGGAACTGATGGTCTGTTCCCCAGTACAAAAGCCTGGGGGAGATGGGGTACTCTGGTGTAAGTCCCAGAGTTGGAAGTCTAGGAGACTTAATGTCTGTGGGAAAAGAAGATGGATATCCCTAGCTCAAGAAGAGTGAAAATTTGTCTTTTGTGACCTTTTGTTCTGTTTGGGTCTTCTGTGCCTTGGATGACCTCTGTTTACATTGTGGAAAGTAGATGACTGTTAGTCCAGTTTCTGGCAACACAGCCTCCCAGAGCACCAGCTGCCTGGACTCCTTTAGCCCTGTTATGTTGTTAGTCCTGTTGTGTAGACATCAACTTAACCAATAATAGAGGGGTCTCAGCAGGTTTCAGAGGGCACTAAGGAGCCTTCCTCCTGTCCTCTTGAGAGAAAAAAATTGGGGTCCTAATAGGAGGAGCAGAGCAGTTTACTGTATCCTTCATTTTAGGGAGCACACTTTGTCTTTTTCTTATAGCACTTCACTGATGTGGACTGGTACTTGTAATTGTGCTGTTATGTGCAGGAGTCTGTGGAGACTAAATCTCTGCCATGTCCCAGATAAGATTTGGATCACCAAATGTCATGACTACTGCTTAGGCTTTGACTCCACCTTCTCTCTGAAGTATCATTCCTGTGCTGATTGGCCCAATGCAAGACAAATACCAAAATGAACACACCTCCTTCTCATCTTTTCCTTCCTTGAAGCTGAGGTGTTAATAATTTTCTTAAAGGCCTTCATTTGAAGTAGTCAGCCATCGTTTTTAGATTCCATTCTTTTCCTTTGCAAAATGAATGATTGGGATCTTGTTAAAATAATATCCTGGCACTTTCTTGTGCCTTTAAATCTGTTTTAGGCTTCTTTAAAATTCACACTCTGCTTAAGTTAAACCAGAACATGTTACCATGTTTTAACAGTCAATATTTAGGGTTTGCTGGAGGGAAAGCTATTCATTTGTTTTTTCATGTATTTAACTGTGTCAAACACACAGAAATGTGGGCACACAATCTTATCCAAGAGTAGGGGGCATTTGTCCCTAGTAATGTAAGCTGATTGCTGTGTAGTTGCCATGAGCTTCCTCCTTCCTTGTCTTAGGAAATAGAGGGTTCAGTAAAGAGTAAACAGAGATGTTGTTGGCATTTTGTTCTTAGGCGTTTCTAATCTAAAAGGTGACTACGGTAATGGACTATGTTCTTTTCAGTTTGGTGTGGCTGAGCCCAGGAAGAAGGCATATGCCGATTTCTACAGGGGCTACGACTCCATGAAGGACTTCGAAGAGATGAAGAAGGCTGGAATCTTCCAGAGTGCGAAGTGACTTCAGAATGTACAGGTGATCAGTTACTTGAAGTTATGTCATAGTAGGAACAGTCTTACCATTTTTAGTTGTCAGTTCCGTTGTGGCAAGCTCTTACACACTGCTACTGTGTATGAAAGTGCTCCCCATGCCCTTGTCCCAGACCCTGACAGTTTACTTTTTATGAATATGACCACATTGTTGCCTTTCTGTAGAGCTGGTTCTCCCTCTTTTTCTTATTCTGTGGGGTATGCATGTGTGCATGCGTGTGGAAGTCAGAACAACTCTGGCGTTGCTTCTCCTACCTGGTATATGCTTCCAGGGATCAGGCTTGGTTTGCCAGACATATGCATTAAGTGCTTTAACCCTCTGAGCCACCCTGCTGGCCCTGTTTGTCATTCTGTGATTGGCTTATTTCATTTAGCAAAGTGTTTTAGCATGTTGTAGGAACTTCCTCCTTTGTAAGGCTGAGAGTACTGCACTGTATGTTATTACTGGGAATTGAACCTGGAGCATTGTGCATACTTGGTAAGCATTTTGTCACCAACTTTCTGACCACATCCTATCCTTTACACACAAACATATATATGTATATATGATACATACACAGTAGCCCTGTCCTTTGCTTGTCAATTACTGGGATTAGTAGATCATATGATACTGTATTTTAGTTACAGTTAGTTTTCCTTAGTAGTCGCAGTATTTACACTCCTACAGTGCTCAGGGGTTTTACTTTCTCCATGTTTACCAGCACTTCTTAACATTGTTTTCTTTCCATAGTGGATATCGTAAATATCTTAAATAGGGTTGACACACACACTTTGTGGTGGTTTTGATTTGAGCTACCCTAATTTGTAGTTTTGAGTGTTGCATGTTGTTGACCATTTGTATATACTCTAGGCGTATTGGGGATTTGCCCCTCTTCGTGTATATGTATGCACCGTGTTTGCATATGTGTGTATGTGGAGGGCCCAGGTTAATGTGGAAAGAGTACTGTATTTTCTACCTTACTGAGGTAGACCCATGTGCTGGCGAGGCTAGTCTGGGGATTGGAGTTGCAGGTGAGGCGCTGTGTCTATTTGGCATTTGAAGATACTCTAGGGATCCAAACTGTCTGGATGTTGATTTGGTATTGTGCTTCAGCCACTTGGCCAGCTCTCTGTTCTGGGGATTCTTTTCTTCAACTCTGCTGACTTTAAGTCTTACTTACAGCTGTTCCCTATTTTTGTCATTGTTTTGTTTTTCTGAGACTGTTTCACTGTTTTACAGTGTGCCACATCTATTAATTTTTATGTATTGATTCACCCTTGCATTCCACAAATTAGTCTCTTGGGCTTCATATATGATCTGTTGTATTAATGGGTAGTTGATTTGTCTTGTTAGTATCGAGGGTTTTTGCATTGCTATTTGTGATTGTTTTTTAATTCTTTTATGTCTGTCTAGTTTAGTTATCAGGACAGTGCTGGATTTAGAATCAATGTGAAAGTTTTATTCCCTCATTTGTTTTAGAAGAACTTGAGAAAGATTGGTGTTAGTTAATTTTTGGTAAAATTCATCTAGTCCTCAACTTTCCTTTGTGAAGTTTGAGTCAGTCTCACTAAGTAATTTTAGTCTGCTGCTAGACTAGTGTCTATTGCTTCTTGAGTTCATGCTGTTAAGTCTTAGCAGTATTCATCTAAGTTACAAATTCACTTTTCTTCTTTTCTCTTGCCATTGTAACTTAACATTTTTCAATATACTTAACATTTACAAAGAACCAAGATTTTCTTTATTGCTTAGTAGTTTTATTGGTTTATTAATCTAATAGTTCCTTTCTTTTAGTTGCTTTACTAGATCCTCTAAATTCCTTAAGTTGTATGTTACAGGTTGTGCATTTGAGTTTTTAACTTTTCCTTGTGACTTTCTCATTGATCCATTGGTTCTAGAATATTAAATTTGGTATATTTTGGATTTCCTAGTTTAATTAAGCCAGCATGGTCAGAAAATACTTATCAAGCCTCCCAAGGTTTGTCAAGGCTTGTTTTGCCCTATCATGGATGGTGTCTTAGTTAGGGTTTTGTTCCTTTGAAGAGGCACCAGGACCATGGCAACTCTTATTAAAAACAAAAAACAAAACCAAACAAACAAAACATTTAATTGAGGTGGTGGCTTATAGTTTCAGAGGCTCTGTACATTAATATCACAGTGGGACATGATGTCCTGTAGGCAGACTGGATGCTGGAGAAGGAGTCTACATCTTTATCTGCAGGCAGCAGGAAGAGAATGCTACACTAGTCTTGGCTTGAACATCTAAAACCTCAAAGCCTGCCCCCAGTGACACACTTCCTAATAGTACCACTTCCTATGGACCTATGTGGGCCATTTTTAGTCAAACCACCATACATTATGTCTTAGAGAATGCCATGTTCTATTACTGAGTAGGTGCTGACATATGAATTACAGTTATCTCTTTTAAGCCTTCTATTTCCTCATCTGTCCGTTGTTAGTAGGGTGAGTCCTCTCACTACTCTTTGGAAGTAAGTATTTCTCAATTTTTCTTTTTGTTTACTTCATATACTTGGATCTCTAATGTGTGGTGCAAGTATTTTTGTTTTCCTTGGCAACGGGTCCAGTTACCATAATGTTTTGTTTCTTGCAGGGTTTTTTTTTTTTTTTTCCCCTTAAAGCTGATTTTGTCTGGTATCAGTAGAGCCTCTTGGTTACTCCTTGTGGAGTGTCTTTTTTCTTCTTTTCACTTTCTAGGGCCTTAAGTGTAATTTGATTGGGCAATTTAATTTTTGAACATGTAAGTCAATTTTTGGTGAAGTTTCAATTCTGTTTATTTCCTTTTATATTTAGTATTTTTGTGGTATAAGACACAGACAGCTATAACAATCTGCTGTACACTTAACAAATCACAGCACAAAAATATTACCTTATGATGCTTCCCATTTGTTACTGATGCCATGTTACACATTTATATTGTATATTAATAGAATTATGGTTGTTTCTCAGTGCCTTTGTTTTTTGGGATATTATTAAAGGATTTAAAATGAGATTTAAAACCAGGATTTAGACTTAACATACTTTCACCAGAGCAGTTTGTCTTTGTGTAGCTTGAAGTTAATGTGGAAGTCTTTTCATTTCACTTGAAGAATTCAAGAGTTTATCTGAAAGGGTAGGTCTCCTGGCAGTGATCTTCAGTTTTTGCTTAATAAGAAATTCCTAAATTTCTCCCTTCCTTTGAAGGACAGTTTTGCCAGATACGCTGTATCTGGGATTTTTCTCACTTTGTAACTCAGTCTGGCTTAGAGCTCACTGTGTGCTCCTCCTGCCTCCACTTCCTTTGTGATGGAATTACACAGTGTGCAGTTAGTTGACACAGCCTTAAATTTGGCCTCAAGCAGTCTGGCTTTAAAGTCTCTGCTGAGAAGTCCATTGATAACCTTCTTGTGAGTCCCTGTACATGATGAGCCACTTTGATATATTTATTTTCACTTTCAAGATTCTCTTGTTTGCCTTTTTTTTTTTTTTTTTTTGACAACTCAAAGATAATGAAGTAGTCTCTAGGCTTATTTTATTGCAGTTTCTAACAAATTCCCTGCCCCCCCCCCCCCCCCCCCCCGTAATCCCGTTACATGTGTGCAAGCCCACTTGCCAGTCTGTAAGCTACACTGTTTTCCTTTACTCTGTCTCTTTTTGTACCAGAGTTGATCATTTCAAAGGACCTGTTGTCACGGTTGCTGCTTGTATCTCATTCCAACTGGGGTATGCTTTTGAAACTCCAGTGATCCCAGTTCAACTAGCATATTTTCCATGAGGTTTTTTACTTGGCTGTCTATATTCTTTTGCTCATTGAACATATTTAAGACAGTTGCTTCTTAAACATTCTCAAGAAAACCAAAGGCCAGGTTTTTTGTGGTTGGTTTGTGGAGACCCATTTTGGTGATTGGAAGGAGCTCTGCTTCTTTCCCTGTAATCTTTTTCTTGAAATTTTGTCATTTTTGGGGCGGAGAACCTCCCCTATTTGTACACAAGCTTGTGGATGGAAGGGAGACCTCCATTTTCATTAGAAAGCATTGTAGCTGAGAAGCTCAGCCTCCTCTGTGTCTGGGAATTTATCTCTGTCTAGTCTGTGCATGTGCTCTGGTTCTGGTTTTCCTGAATATACAGCTACTCTTAAATCCATCTTACCTTTGAGTTTCATTACTGTTAACCCTTGGAGCCTCAGCTGTTTTAGTATATTTCTCTGCCTGAAATCTTTGACCCATGGGTGCCTAAAGGTCTAATCTTCCTGCATGCCGCAGTATCCACCATTTCTTTCCTTGGCAAGACAAAACCAGACCTTTGGGCAGTCCCCAGACAAGTAGATATCACTATCAAGGACCACTCCTTACTTGAGGGAGGAGCCACATTGGGTAATTTTTCTGGATCATATTGCACTGCCCTGCATAGTGGAGGCACTGACGGCCAGCAGAGATGTTATGTGTGGTTTTCTATTTATTGGTTAGCTGTTCATTTGGTTTCTGTAGCTTAACTGGGGGTTCTGTTCTTTCTCAAATAGTTATTTTGACTCATATTTATTAAGGTAAGGTGTAGGGACTGTCTTATAAAGTTTTTTGGTATACTGTCATGCTGACATAAAATTATATTCAAAATCATTTGGCATTACCAATTGCTAGGTTGACACATTACTCTAATAAAGTAGCTTATTTGATAAAGTAGCTTCTTCAGAAATGCACATTTTAAAAATACCACCTATAGGTATTCATGAGTGCTTTGCTAGCTTTCTGGTTTTGTCTGTCTCATGGACAGTATAAATTTAACTTTCTGTGTCTAGAGGACTGAGTGATGAAAAGTCATCTCCTGAACTGACTTGAGGGATTGGTACACAGTCAACACCCACTGTTCATGCTTTGGAAATCTCATGCTTGTATTTAATTTCATTCAAGGTTAACAGGTGGGCAAAAGACAATTTAAATAAAGATTCTACCCTTCAGTTTGGCTCTGCTCTCTGTAATGAGTTTGGTGTGATGAGCGTTTCAGCTCCACCAAAATACATACCTTTCTGTGACTGGGAAAAGGCCTATTGTGCTTTTCTATTATAGATGTTTTCAAGGTAATTAACTTTGGCCTAATAGAAAGTTAATTCTACAGTGTTCTATTTCTAGTTATTGTCCAAAATGTAGCTAAATGCTGTCTTAATCAGTGTTGACTATAGCAACTTATAAAGGAAAGCATTTAATTGGGGCTAGATTTACAGTTTCAGGAGAAGGAGCTGAGAGTTCTACGTCTACTTTGGCAGGCAGCAGGAAGAGAGTGAGCCTAGGCTTCTGAAGCCCCAAAGCCCACTCCTAGTGACAGTTCTTCCAACAAGGCCACACCTCCTAATCCTCCAGTAGTGCCATTCCCCGATGAGTGAGCCTATGGGGGATATTCTTATTCAGACCATCACAGATGCATGCTTCAAATACCCAGAGTGTACCTGCTGATTTATCAGTATAGTAAACAGAACTAAAACCAACAATGTTTGTACCATTGGTAGGAAAATTAGTAAGAATGGTCTTTATCATACCATGGACTGTTAATGTCCTTTAGCACTGATATCAAGAGACATAAAAAAAATGTTATTGAAAGTTAGACAATTTAAAGAAAGCATACAGATGCCAGAAGAACATCAGTGCTGCTGGAGTGATTATAAGCTATGGTCTGCCCAGAATGGAAGCGAGGCAGGTGGTCAGGGAACTTGACACTAGGCAGCCAGAAATGGGTGAAGGGGAGTGATCAGTAGTAAAGATTGTTCATCATTAACATAGCCATTGTTTCTCTCCATAGAATTCTTTGGATTGCACTCGATAGAAGTTCATCACTGACCTGTGTTCCTGAACTATGAACCATGAGTATGTGGACTAAGGAGTAATTTATCTCAATAAACAATTTTATGGATGTAAGTCTTTGTTTGGTTATTATGGATAATTCACGGGCTTAAAAACCTGACATCTATTCTTGTAATTCTGGAAGAACAGTATAATTTGTCAACCCATTATTGCAACACATGTATAATTGCTCTTATATTTTGTTATTTCATTGAGATGGGACCTTCCTGCAGTGACTTGGTCCTGGCTTCAGTCCCCTGAAGTACATGAGTGGCTGAATGGCTGAACTTGCAGCTTTGGTGTTCCAGTGTGTGTATAAAATGTCTTTTCAGGAGGCAGAGGGAGGTGGGTGTCTGTGAATCTTGAGTTCGAGGCCGGCATAGTGAGTTCTGGGTCAGATGCCATTCTTAGAGAAAATCTGTCCTTGGATTTCCTTGAAACGGTTTTGGTAGTGTTGCTGTCCCAGAAAGAGTAGGTAACTGACATGCTGTTAGAATAATTGCTGTTATTAATGAACCACAATATGTATGAAATGATAGTTTTTATTAGTATCTTTAGAATCTTTGTAAAGATTTTGTTGTGACCAAAGTTATATTTATTTTATACAGACCTAGTTTTCTTTGTTTTTGTGGTACAGGCATCGAACCAAGGGCCTTGTGAACTCCAAGTAAAAGAGCTCTATGACTGTATAAAATTAAAAATCAAGTTTGATCAGTAGTTGATCTTACTCTGTTTAACTTATATAAGACTCAGTGAGTGGGCTGTATTAAAAATAAGGTACCAGTGAAAACCTTTGAACTAAATGAACAAACAGACATTTATCCACAGTAAGTAATTCATGAATATCTTTTATTTATATAATTCCTAGCAATAGTAAAATTACCATTAAGTCATACAGTCAGTACATATTTACATTCTTAAAAATAATTCTTGAGGTTGACAAAAATGTTGCTTTCCTAAATGAGTAACAGACTAATTGCAGAAATGGTTTTATGTTTGGCTTGAATTGCCCAGCAGTGACTTTTGTTTTCCAGCAGTGGTGACGTAGTGGGGATGTGTGTCCAATGGTGACTTTTGTTTTCCAGTAATGGGGATGTGTGCCAGCAGCCTTGAGTTGAAGGTTGGTTGCCTTTGAAATCACACTGTCCTACTTAAGTGTCACTTTTCAGTTGGAGGAACAAGTTGCATGCCTATGCATGAATGCTATGAGTGGGCAATGAGACCATGAGGTAGTCATTGAATGTGGTAAGATAGCTGATGACTCCAGGTCTTACATCAAAGCCTTTCTTAGATGTTAATGCTTTATCAAGTCAGTTCATAGACTACTTTGATGGCATTGTTAGCCTTAATGTTGGACTCAGGGTTTCTCTGTGTATCTTTGGCTGTCCTGGAACTCATTCTGTAGACCAGGATGGCCTCGAACTCACAGGAATCTGCCTGCCTCCCCAGTGCTGGTATTAAAGGTGTGCACCACCAAGGCTCAGCACTATAACTCCTATAACACTAAGGAGTTATAGAACCAAACTTAAAAGCATTATGTTCTTTTCTTGTTGGTAGACAAAAAAAATGTTACTTTTTAGCTTGGTAAAAAAATAAGCTTTCCAAAATACTTCCAAGCAGTTAAAAAGTCTGTTTTAAAAATCAGTAGAATGCTGACTTTGAGGGTAATATACATTGTTTTTACTAAAACAATGGTTTTGTAGTTAAGTGAAAAATTAAACAAGCCAAACAAAATGGTGTATTACAGGGGTGGTGGTGTTTATTTCTTGGTCTGTCCACATTTTACTATTTGGCAGAGCATTAATAGTTTGAAATTACAGTGAAAATGTCTGTGTATGGTAAAAACACAACATATATAGGATTCTGCTGACTGTTCCTCTCCCACTTAGGGTTTTTTTTTTTTTTTTTTTTGGTCACTTGAAGGAGGTACAGTATCTCTTTATGTTTGGGGAGAAGATAAGATGTAAACCCCCTACATTAATATGCCTGTTACTATAGCTGTGTTGGCCTTGTGTCCATGTTGAATGTTGGAACTCTGTTGCTCAGCAAAAATCAAACGCCTACTTTCTAAAGGGGACTCAAGGGAACCCTTTCCTCAGGGCTTTATTCTTTACCATGGTAAATTTACTAATGAAGACCTGAGCAAAATGTGGGTCAACTAAGTAATGGTAGGTTTTAACAGTGGCAGGGGGAGGCTCCACAGCCACCACAGAACATGCTGTTTGCATAGAATTGCAGCTTGGGGCCAGGTGACAAGATGTTTTTGCAATGTAGTCCACGAGCCTGTTAAACTGTTGCTCCGACAGTCTCTCCCGGGTACCATCCACCTGCATTCGGAATACAGAGGTTTGTTAATGAGTCACCAACCTTAGTGATAGTTTGACAACAAAACTTTTCCTGGATGCACTTGTTCAATGTGTCTCCTAGGTCATCTGGTAAGCCATTCTGTCCACATCAGCACTTCTGAGATAGCACATGTAAATGTAACCAGATCTCCGTGGGCACATTTTTGCATAAAACTGGGTCCCATTTAAGGTCCCCCTTTAAAGAGTACGATAGTACTTATTAACTGTTAACACATCTGTCATTGCTTTTTACCAAACATCCCAGGAACAAAGAAGAAAAATGTCCTCTCTGCTTAAATGTAATCAATATGCAACTCCGCATCCCCAAGCTAAAGTTGCCTTGGTTCCCAGAGCTTCCTCTGTCAGAAGGCAGGAAGAGGGCCTCATTCACACCAGTGGCTTTGGACAGAACATTTTTTAAAAACAAAACTCCTACACCTTTTTGAACTGTTAACATTTTCTGTTTTTATAAATATTGGGTTTTAAAGCCAGAAAAAATAGAAAAACTGGGCAGAGGAAGGGGAAATTTTTATGGCAAAAAGGGAGGATGCAAACCACATTTATAGTTCATAAAAGTCTGGCTCATCTTCAGTGGAACTGAGGAACTGAGATAGATAGATAAACTACCTAAGTTCTTAGTGAGATGGTCTGAGGAAGCACCCATCAAAGGCACTTTGGGACCGTTAAACTCCCACCGCTATCTAGTGTGCAGATCAAGCCGAGCAGGGAATGGGCAGAGCTGGCCACTGGTTTGTAAAGCTTAGTAGCCACTGACCTTGTAGTATTGTGTGTGAATTTTTTTTAATCTACTGAACATTAGCAAGGCCATTCTGGAAGAATTAGAAACCTTTTTAAATAGGGGTGTTTTAGTTCTCAGAGTTGCGGTAATGTAAAGCGTTTAAGCAGGGCCCAGGGGAAAAAATATTAAAAGTATAAAAGTTGTAAAAAGCTACAGAAAACAGATAGTAAAGGGCCTGCCAGAGGAATAAGTTAAGGCTTGTATATTTTCCAGCCTGAGAAAGAAAAGGAAAACCTTTAAGATTAACTGACAGATGAAAGCTGTACACCACCAGGCAAAGGCCAGAGTTCTGATGATATCATTTGATGGGGCCAGAATTCAGCTGGAGAGCGTTGAATATACAAAAAGGCTTAATTGCTCCTCCTGAACAGCAGCAGGAAAGCTTGTGTTGTGAAAGGAACCTGGCCAAGGAATAAATTGACCTCCTGACTCATTTTGAGTCTCTCATAGGGGATTTTAATAATGTGCCAGGCATATTAAGCAATTATCCCTAAAAAATGGCTGCATTTAACCAAGAAAAGCAATGCTGACTTAAAAAAAAATCTGCCATATTTGAATATGCTCAATGATGTCATTTCCAAATTAACTCCTTTCAGAATTCAAAGGAGTTGTGTTTCTTGCCTCTAAGGTGAAATGCTGCTGGTGTTTTTTTTTTTGTTTTTTTTTTTTTCCCCCACAGCAGCAGGCTTCCTGACCAGGCTTTGGGTGGGGACTGTGTTAGGAGGCTCTGATTTGAGCATGCCAGCTGCAGAAAACAGTCCCCCGGTGTCCCTAATAAGTCTTCTTCCTACTGAAAGTACACTGTAGTACAGCTCTCGATGAACACAGAAGGGAGTGGCTAGGAGTAGAACAAAGCAATATTGAGAAAGTACAGTGTGGAGCTTGAAGCATGGGTTTTTACTCAGCACAATACCACGTGTGAACTTTGTGCTTTTTCTTTTTTGGTTTTCCAAGACAGGGTTGCTGTGTATTATTTTGGAGCCTGTCCTGGAACTCAGAGATCATCCTGCCTCTGCTGGGATTAAAGGCGTGCGCTACCAATGCCCGGCCGTGTGCTTGTTTATTTTATGCCTCTAACAGTCATACCTTCATCTCCAGATTTCAGCAGGTTATGATGCTGGTGAGTTCATCACCTCCACAGCTGCTTTCTACACTACACATGCCGATTTGTGTTACCATAAAAACAACAGGTCTGAGCTCCACCCCCAAACACAAGGGCAAATGAGTATGAGAAGTGGGTATCAGTAAAAGATGAAGCTCATGGCATAGAGCTTCAGCTAAGAAAAATACTGGTCACATACATTTCTTAGGGCTTGGAGGTTTCTCCGGAACTAAGGATTTGAAGACAATGCTACTGTCCTTTGCCAAATTTTGGAGCCAGATCACTGCTGCTTTTATTGTTAAGTGGATCAGAAGATTTCTGGCAGATCTAATAAAGTCAGCCTGGACACCCGGCCCCTGTTTATTCCCAGAAAGTCATCAACTGAAAGCAGTGCAGTCTTGGTGCCAAGCCCAGCTTACAGTCTGACTGATTACAGTCCAAGACACAAGAGATCCTAGAAGATGGCTGTGGTTGGCTGTTGTCCATCTGCAGATAATTCTACCCAAGTAATGTGAGGGAGACAGGGTCATGGATCAGGAAAATTACCATAGGTTCTGCTGGGGGAAGTTTTGAAACCTTGTTGTCAGTCTTCAATGCTCAGTGAAGACCACCTCTATCTCATGTTTTAAAAACCTTGCAATTTAGTAATCAGGATGTGTGGCTCACCCTATTACTGGTGAGGTATACAGAAAGAAAGCAGTTTCCCAGTGGGTGCATCTGCTTATTGTAGGTTGTTCTGACTCCTAGAGCATCCATTCCATGTAAACATTGCCAGTACAAAGCACATCGAGGGTGCTGTTCCTCTTCTGTAAAGGGCTCATATACATAG